TTCCGGTTCTTCGGGTGTTTTTGAAAAAAAAAAATTTTTTTTTTAATTTTTTTTTGTTTTTTTTTTAAAAAAAAAAAAAAAAAAAAAAAAGCAACATTTTATCACCAGTATGGCAATCATGAACTATTTACAGAGAACTATGTCATTTAAAAATTCTCTCTGGAATGATTTTCAAATTTCTTAGAGTTGAGATGGTTAATAGTTTGTCATTGTAGATCATATTTAGACCTGAAGTGTACTCTTTTCTGCTTCTTTTGTAACTTTCATCACTTTATAAACAACATACTTTCAGGGTCAGACGAAATGGCAAGAAAGACAATGAATAAAAAGCTGCAAATTTCCAAATAAAAAATTTGACCTTGTACTATTATAGCCTGGCTGTTACTTTCATTCTGCTCCTTTTTTTTTTTTTTTTTTATCTCGTGCTTCATCTGGGCTTTTTCCCATTGTGATGGATTTATCTGGTAGAATTTCAACTGGGCCAATTAGCGAACAGACGGAGTCGTGAACAATTCACAATGGGTTTTCTGCACTGATTTAGAATTGTAGTTTATCTATACAAGGTTGTAGTTTGGCAATAGCACAGGAGGAAGTGAACGAAGCCATTCAGTCTATGTTCGCTAAGCTTCCAAATATTGAGTAACTAAAGTCAGAGCAAGATGAATGAGACATTTTATTGCTGTAGCCCCACTCTCCACGGGTTTTTTTTAAAGCGCACGCGATTTCTGGTAAGCGTCATCGCGCTGGTACTTTACACACATCATGGCAATAATATCTCATCAAGCGAGAGTCCAGACATCCATACGAAGCAAAGCGTAGAACAAGGCATTGGTTTGTACCAGGCTAGCAAGATCATAAAAATATATATTTTTTCTTTTCTATCTTAAATACACTTTGAGGTATTCCGTTTTGAAAAGTACATTGGCTTAAAACTTTAAACCCTTCTGTTACCAGCTTCTCAGTGTCCATAGAGAGAAAATTCCTGCCACGTGTTATCCAGAGACATTAAGTCCTATTCTTCTTTCACAGGCCGATCCGAAGGAGCTGATTCGACTGGTCACGCAGCATGTCTCCTCATATTCGGCCTGGCCAGAGGAGCTGCAGAAGCTAATCAGCCAGCTGTACGTGTACAATGAGCGCCTGACAGACTTCACTCAGGCTCAGGTGTTGCAGGGCCTGGGCCGGGGAGTGGACGTGCAGCGCTTCAGCTCTGACTTGGAGTACAAGAAAAACACTATTCTCGGCCTCACAGAGTAAGTTTTTTTTTATTTTTTTTATTTTTTTTTATTTTAAGGAAGTTTTAGTTATTCTTGTTTTTGGAATGTGAAGCTTGCAGCTGGAAAAGTATTTTTAGCAGTTGTATTATGAATGGAGTTGTACTATGTCCAAAGATGTGTGCTTAACCCTTAGGGTACCTTTTCCTGTCCAAAATGGTACATCTTGCCTCGCAGCCTTTTTTGATTCACAAAATCTGTCATATTAAAGGTTAATTCTATGAAACTTGGTCAGGACTGTTTTTGTTTTCTTTTTGAAATTTATTTGAGCTTTTGATTGTAAGTTTTGTACAGGGGTCTGTAAGTTATGTACACTTACTTTTCCTTCTGTCCCATTTTGTTCCTATTTACTTCCATTATAACCACATATTTTCAATGGATTACAATCCTATTATTTTAAAAGTATGTTCCCATAAAGACCAAAATAATCTAAGTTTCTACCTTTAAAATACAAGGAGAACTGGTTTTAGATGTGATGAAGCCCCCCCCTCCCCGCACCCCTATAATTATCATAGACCCCATCACTTTACGTCTGGAGCTGTAGAAAAGAATTAAAGAAGAAAAAAGTGAAAAATACATTTAAATATTGATTTTTTTTTTTTTTTTTTTTTTTTTTGGACTTTTAAAAGTGTACTATTTGGGGTCACAAAGATAAGAAGTGTTGGTTTTGGTTTCAATTCTTATTACTCGAAAAAAAAAAAAATTAAATAAATAAATAAAATAAAATAAAAAATACTGCATACAAATCGGTGTGATTAAGTTTTGACCTGGTCACCCTGAAACACCCACATCAAAAAAAGTAGCTTATTTTTGCAAAATACTGCATATTGTGTGTTTTTCTTCTTCAAAAAGAGTCTGTATTTTTTTCCAACTAAACAGGCATAAAATATAGAAAAGATTTAATGCAAAGACAGTGGAAAAAAACTAGAATTTCCATAATAGTTTTATAAAGTGTACCATTTTGCAGCATGAAGGTAAATAGAGCAAAGTTACATTAAAGGTGTCCTGAAGGTTAATCTAGTTTGAAACGTTTCTGCAACATTTATGTAATAGAAGTAATTAAAAGAAATTGACCTCTCTGCTTTAACAGTATAAAATCTGATTATTGCCATGTGTGTTCTCCTTTTCCATGTGTGTTCTCCTTTTCCATGTTTGTGCTAGGACACTGGATGACAGCGTGTACAGGATTGCTTTATCCCTGGCAAAGCGTTACTCCGTCCCTCTGTGGGAGGTCTACATGACCCACCTCGAGTTCCTCTTTACAGAAAGCAGGTGCATGCACACATACATAATCACATTAGCTCTTTGTGATTTTCTTACTTTTTTTTTCCTTCCTTTGGTGTTTTATTGTAGTAGATATGCACAAAATAATCATCCAGAGATTAGAATTGTCTAATTCACCTGCTCTGATGGTTGATTGGAAGGTCTAATACTAAAGAAATTGAAGACTTTTTTTTTTTAACCTTTGTTCATTACATTCGTCAAACTCAAGAATCGTTAACCCTTTTTAGTCTATAAATGCATCAGCCAACAACATGCACTTTGAGTTTTATAAAAAAAAATCTCTAAGGTTAGGAACAAACGATGCATAAGTGGGGATAATATTGCTTTCTATGCAATTCAGAACCAATAGCTTTATCAGAGAAGAACATTTTCTCACTAATGTATTATCCTAATAGATAAAATGATTAAAAATAATTGATTGAAATCAAAAATCACTGATAAGCGTATCATTAGTTTGTAGGTTTACAGCACTTCTCCACAACATTATCATAAAAAACAAAACAAAACAAAAAAAAAAACAAAAAAACTACCAGAATATTTTAGGACTACTTAAATAACATTGAACTTCCCGATACCCAATTTGTTTTTAAATTTAGAAACATGTGAACCCAAATGTGAACTTAACTCATTGTTAGAGACAATGGGAACATTAAAGAAAGCATTTTGATCCAAGTGTAAATGAAACATCTAGAGAATGAGTGAGTTTGGGTTTACGACAGGATGTGTGTCGGAAACTATTTACATAATTTATTTGCTCCCTCAATTCATATCTAGTTTATCGGGCTAGCAGTGCAGCTCTTCTTGTTTCTATAGAATGCCTTTTCAGCAGAGTTTGAGGGTTGCTCGTGTTTGGAGGCAAACGTGTGTGTGTGTGTGTGTGTGCGCATCTGTGATAAATTCCCACTTGTCACATTCTGATATAGGGAAATGCTTTATGGACTCCGCTTAACAATAAATTACAACATGCACCTTCCTAAACCCTTTTCACAGCCGCTTTATGTGTGTGTGTGTGTGTGTTTCCACCAAAACCTCAAGATCATGACAAATCTGTGAAGGATATTCATGCTATAATCTCGAGTAGAAGCATCTGCAGTATGCCTATTGATTTAACGGATGGATGGAGGAAGGAAACGGTATAAATAGTGCAGTTGGGAGAATTTAAAGGGGAAAGACGTATATAGACCGAAGCGGGAGTGCAAAATGGAGATTTGACTTATATTGATCCCTAATGGGAAATACATTTTTTTGCATTTCACTCATTTGCCTTGTTTAGGAGCTGCCACAGTTCACAGTTGATTGAATTGAAGTTGAATTTGCTGTCCAGAATTTTGGTCAACTCTGGCTCTTTCAGTAGAACAGCAAGCTTTTTCTTGCCAGACTTCAAATTGCTCTCAGTCTTCAACATAACAATTGCCTTGATCCTTGAAACTAAAATTGCTCTGACACATTCTTTTTTTTTTTTCTTTCTGGCACATTCCTGCAACCCCTCTTTTAGTGTGGTTCTAACTACATCAGACTGCTGTGTGGTATAAATTGTAGCAGCTTTATTGAACTTGTTGAAGAAAATTCATAAAACCTGTTGGGTGCTTTCCGAATGAATAAGTATGAAAACATGCATACTGGACTTAGTCCAGGGGTCTGCAACTTTGACAATCTAAAGAGCAATTTTAAATAAAATGTGTTTAGAAGTACAAATCTTAATTTTTGATGAGAGTAAATATGCTGTCATTTTTATAGAACTACAATTTTTTTTATATATATATATTTTTAGGTTATAGAACAAAGAAAAACTTAAAAGGACAAACTTATGCAGTTTTTTGTTTGGTTGATATTTTTGACAAATTGTATTAAATAAGCAATCGTTTCTAGCTTAATGACAAGAACATCCATTTGTCCCCTTTGAGAATGTAAATAAGAAAAATACTATATTTTTCATGAATATGTGCCTTTTAACATGAGAACCTTCTTAATTATGTTTTCTGACGACTCATCATTCCTTCACTACAAATGTATTAAATCAGTGAAATCATTTTCTTGCTCAGCAGCTGGTGTTGAACCGCTTGCCTGTCTACAAGCTTGCTCTGTGATATCTGAGCATGAAGTGACGCTAAAGGCAGGATTTCTTCAGTCCTGTGGCCTGACAGGAAAATTTTACATTGTCTTAGTTATTGATTAACGCTGCACAAAAATGATATGCTTGGCTAGTGAAGCTGCTACTGTTTTCTTTTGGTTTGGTTTTATTTTTCAATTTTTTTTTTATTTTTTTTTTGCACTAGTGGCCTTTCATGAACAGTAGTTTGACAAGGAATAAGAAAGAAGAGAGAAAGGGAAGGCAAGTAAACAAATGGCCAGAGACCACGAATCAAACCCAGGACAACTGCACTGAGGACTAAACTCTGTTCATATAGTGCGCCTGGTCGACCTATTGAGCTACCCAGGGCTGTTTTTCAAGAGTATAGACTATATTTATAGAATAAAGTTTGACAGGTCTGATCATTCTAGCAAAGCACCCGAATCCTTTATACATAGGACTCTTCATTTTCTCCTGCTGCACATAACATCACATTCGCCTGTCCACTGTTTCTGTTTATTTGTATTCTCCAAAGATTCTGTTTTTTTTTTTTTTTTTTATCAGAACGGTGTTCATTGGACAGTGGGTGTGTGTTTGGTTGTGTTGATGAAAGAGGGGCTCTCAATACTGCTTCTCATATTGCTGAGAATCTTACAGCTGCATGTAATTTGACATCATTAACTGAACATATTCTATGTATTATGGGAAAAATAAATAAATAAATGTTTTCTGCATTTTTCCAACAGCATTACAGTACAACCTTCCCTACTTTGCAGAAAGTTACAAGCATTCTCGACTCTCGGACAGCATCTCTTTGAACAATGCCGTGCTGGATAGCTATCACTTCTCCCTACAGTTTAATCTGTACTGTCTGATTGGCTCTTCAATTGAATATGCCTCAAAATTTGGGGACATTAGCAATCTCTTTCTGTTTGCTATCTCATGCATCACATCTGAAGCAAACATGTTAATATGGGCCTGGGACGAGCCGGGAGACGAGGGTTGCGAGGAGCGGCGCAGAGATCAAATCAGATTAAATTGGCTCCTTGTTCTGGCTGGCTTTTGAAACAAACAAGAGAAGATTGTAATAACAAGCATCTGATATTACAGCCACATGAGTACCACAAAGATAGAGTGGGGGAAATTCTATTGCGTCCTTAGAGAGCAACCAACAAGGAAGCGGCGGCGGCGGCAGCCAAGCCAGCGTGGCGGAGACTAGTAATGAAGCTATCAGAGAGAAATATGTTCACCACAGAGATGTTAAAAACCGCTGAGAAAAACAGAAGAAACGCTCCCAACTTAAGAAATGTTTTTTTTTTTTTTAATCAAAGCTCATAACCTCTCATCTTACTAAAAGAAGGTTTCAATTCATATAGTCCTCATTCTCTTTAGAGGCATAATGAATAACTAATGAAACAACTCTGATTGGGTGCCTGTCTGTGTGTGAGAGACAGAGCACTCGCTAAGCTGAGTGTGCTTCCCTTTGTATTAGTTCATACGATTGCAGCCATATTAGAGCTCCTGTGGTGAACATGATTAGAGTTATTTACATTATTGAGCCTATTGTCAGCGGCTGCACCCGCTGTTGCTCTCTATTTAATTTTTTCATTAGCAGAAGCCTCCCAGCTAAGTGCGACGGAGAGCCCAGGGGAAGCATTGTCCACTTTGATGTTGTCTCGTTCTGACAGATAAACAGAACTCCACTCTTACGAACACACTCCCAGACAGCCGCAGATTGCTCAGAGCCCCTCGGAGACCACCACGAGTAGCTTTACATCGCCCTTGCCTTTTTAATCTATGTAGAGCTTCTTGTTTGACTTTAATTGCATTTCTCTGGGGGTTTTTCTCCATTTCTTTGTGCTTTTTTGCTTCTCTTCATTTTAGTTTGGTTCTCGTTCTTTGGACCACTTGCTGCAGTTGACTTTTTGCTGTATGGCTACACAAACTCAAATTGTGCTCAGATTACTCGAGTCGATGAAACGGCTTCCCCTCAGATTTTTGCCTCCATCTGAACATTCAATATGTCCTCAACTTGACTTTCTTCCTATATACTTTCGATTTTGTTTTCATTCTCCCTCTTTGTATAAGTTTGATCAGTTCAAATTGTTAGGATTGTTAGCTGTGATAAATATCCTAAATGTTTTTTAGGGCTTTATTATTTTTTTTATGACTTTTCCTACTGTGTTTAAACAGTAAACAGTTCTCAACCAATCTTGCTTACTTGTAGTCTTACTGAACAAATCTTTAGCTTTGAAACTACAAACAAATGCTCCTGTTTGTCTAACATATTTTTAAATATCCAACATGTCTAAAAACAAGACACATCCATTTTTCTGACTGCCTGACACAAAATAAGACAAAACATTCTTGTTTTATCTTAATTAGGTGAACTAGCTAATTATTAAATAACTATATTTGCTAAATGCCAAAATGTTTAGGCAAATTCCTTATAGATCTTTTTTAAAGAAGAATCACAGATTCATTTCCTTAATATTTGGTAGAATGGCCTGTGTGACTTGGAAATTCTTCCACAGTTTCTTAGTTTGCCACATAGCATTCAGTCTTCATGTGTTTTGTAAAGTGCACCAGTCCCTCCTGCAGTAAAGCTCTCACACAATGTGATACTGCCATCCCCGTATGTTGATGTTGGGATGGTGTTCTCAGTATTTCAAGTGTCCATCTTTTTCCTCCAAATAAATTGGTGATACTTGTGGCCATCACAAGTCTTCCTAAACCGTTGAACAACTTAGTAAGCTTAATGTAATTAAACTTATGAATTTAAAGGAAACAAGATTCTCTATTGATAATCTGGCATTGAGCAAACAGACATAATTTTGATAATCCTATCTGGATAGTTTTAGATTTATTTAAACTCAGTGAGGGAAAAGCTATGTGTCTTTTTATACTGTGTATGTTATTATCTGGTTCCAAATGCAGTTGTGCCTTATTGATTTGATTCTCAGCTAATTTTTTTTTTTTTTTTCCCCCCCTGCTTTTTCTCTCCCACTTCAAGTCTTTCCACTGAAGAAATCGAAAGTCGGAGTAACTCCCTCAAACTGTTTGACACTTTGAAAAGAGACCCGGAGGCCTTTTGCAGCCACATGACCAAATATGTTCTGCCCACTGTGGAGGGAAGTGACCTGGGCCGCCTTCTCTACTACTACACCTTAATAGACGCTGCAGGCTGTGAGCCTTATGTGACCACCATCATAAAACCAGACTCTCACGTCAAACTGCTGAAGAAGCTTCGTGCCGTTGCCAAAGGTATGTTTTGGGATTTTTTGTTTGTTTGTTTGTTTCTATTGGATGATGTGCTGGTGAACTATATATATTCTTCTTTTGACTTTTTCATGTTTTCTTACTTTACAACCATAGGCTTCAGTGGATTTTGTTGATATTTTGACTGATGAAAAAGTTGGTATGATTGTTTATAATCCTGAACACACTTTTTCCACCATGAAACATCATGCTGGCAGCATCATGCTGGTGGGAGATACTTCACCTCAGTAGGCCAGGGAAGCTGTTCAGAATTGATGAAAAGCTTGGATATGTGATCAGTATTAAATTTTGAATTATTTAAACAAAAACTGTTCAGACACATATTAGAGCAGCAGCATTTATAAATGCTAGGCATAAACAAATACATTCTGTCTTGTGAATACCAGTGAAATACATTTTAATCGAAGAATTTATGGGAGATTTTCCGCCCCCAAATTGTGAGGATAAAAAAAAACAACACATATTTCACTGTGAAGAAAAGATTAAACATCCCCGATGACAAATCTACAGTGAGAGGTTACATGCATTATCTTTTATCTCCTCCTTGATCTTATTCTGTTCCTTTTATTTCTTCTCGATTGGTTCATGAAACACCTTTCCTGCAGTGCCGAAACCGAATGCAATCATTTGCCTGTAACTGAAAGAGACACCGACCCACGTTTTGTATTATTAGTCAAATAACTGACACCACGGGAGCCTGCAGTGACACCGTTGAAGTGAGCATTGATCTCAAAGGACATTGAGACCAGACGTCGCCCTCCCAGCTCTTCAGTACCTGATCCCCAGTTTTGTAAGGGTGAAAACGTTGTCAGTTCTTTTGGGAGTTCAGTAAAGGTCAGCCTGGGTGTCATCTTGTGTTTTCACGCCTCGCTTCCTCCTTCTGCTCGTGGAAGTGCCACAAATTTTAACAGTGACACATGTCTCTGTTTAAAACATGAACAAAGCAAAAACACACTCGCCCGAGAGATCGACTTTAAGGCTTGGATAATAAACAAGCAAAATGTTCACCTGAGGTGTAGGCTCAGTGCAGGGGGAGCAAGTCAACCAATATGAAAGCAAAACACAAGTGTTGTTACATTTTCCAGATGGATTCAGAGGCATACTTGGCTAACTTTTACTGAAGTGACAGAAATCTAAGTGTGATTTACAGAGGTTGCGATATCTGGTAATGCTATACAGTAGGCCTGCTGTGCGTAATGTCACTTCTTTCTGTTCCTGTTCACTCATAGTAAAGTAAAAGATTCTTTTCTAAAGAACTCCATCAGAGTCTTTAGTCTCATCAGCTGCGCTATTCAGATGTTAAATGGAGTGCTTAATTTTTGGAGTTTGTTCAAAGAAAAATCTTTTAGGAATTGTTTTCTAGATGCATTGCAAAAATGGTTTCTATAAATGTTGTAGGGATGGCTATTCTTGAAGACTCCAGGCCTTATTCAGAGCCTTAACCTCATAACTTTCACGAGGGACACCAGTGTCCTCACATAACCTACGTCTGTAAATGTTTTTGGAGTGATAGTTAACTATCATCCCAATAAAAGAATAAGGATGGAGAAAGATTTATTATTATCTGGTGGATTTGCTGTGCATGAATGAATAACTTAATTCATGGTCATTTGAATCAGAGAGGCCAATATTCTTCTGTAACAGAGAAAACAAGTCCTTTCACAAGCTATCCCAAATGGTGTATTTAATTTTCCACTCAGGTCTTTTTGATGGTGACCTAATTGATTCTTTATAAATATAAATTATATAGAACATGTTGTTTTTCAACTCTTGGGGTCAAATTCGAGACATTTAAAGCTGATAAAGAACCTATTTTTACGGATCATGTTTTGCTAAGAACCAACTCACACAACACTCCTGGCAAACAAGCTGCATCTATATATATTTTTCTCTGGACCAGGAACCTATTTAGCTACACTGACAGTAGTATATACATATTTTAGTTCCTTTGCTCTAGGAGTAAAGTACATAAACTTTGGGAGCTAGCTCCTGCCAGGGAAAAAACAACAACAAAACAACAAAAAAAAAACTTCAGTTTGAATTTTTTTTCAACATAACATCACCTCCTGATCTCCTGTCTTCATCAAAAATTTAGAACCATAGGACCTCGGGAGGGTCTGAAAGATCTTTTAATTTAAAAAAAAATAAGCCAACAGTTCAAAGGGCCAAGAAATGACAGAACAGGTAGATGGTTCCCTCTACAGAAGCTTCTGTTTTTCTCCAAGTCCTGAAACTTTTTTGTTAACCCAGAAATTGTTTCAAAACATAACTACTTTGCAGTGATTTGAATCCCCAAGCCTTCAAAGTTTTTCAAAGCTTTGTACCTCACACAGACTTGCTAGTCAAGAGCTGTACCTTGATACAGGAGGGTAAGCTGCGATTTTACACACTCCGTTCAGGGGAGGGATTTACTAATTGATCAGTTTTGCAGATGCTGGTGCATGAACTCCAACAGATGCACATTACCACACTCAAAAGCCTCAACAAAATCTAGAGCATCCAAATTCGTGCAGGCTACTTGTACCTCAGCTGACTTTGTGACATTAACACATAGAAGCTTGCATTCCCTGAATCTCTTTCCAACTTTACAACTTTAACGCAACCCACAAATTCACACTCCGTGTGGGTGAAATTGTCACACAGGCTGTTGTCTCCAGGGCCACTAACTTTCTGTTAACATGATCAAACTTTGATGCATTCTCACTCAAAATGACTCATAAGTCACATGGGAAACCACATCAGCGCATGCAAAGTTTTGGTTGGATAGTCATTTACGCTAACCTTAACTCCAGCTAAGAACTTGTGATTATCCTGGCTGAAGATGGTAAAAAAAAATTCTCATCTGCAGTGATAGGAATCACTTTTCCAACTTGGTCTGAAAGACTACTCATTGCAAAAGAAGCTAAATCACCATAAAAAGGCCGGAATTGTGTTTGTAAATGCATACAGGCAAAAAAAAAAAAAAAAAAAAACATTGTAAAAATCTGACAAAATTAAGTCAAATTTGACTTACTGGTTGGTACTATCGTGTTATACAAGTATTCTGCAGCAGAATGACCTTATGCACTTAACAAAGTAGATGGTATAATAAGGAAAGAACATTATATAGAAATCTTGAAACAATACGTCAACATCCTTGCTAAGATATTGAAGCTTGTGCACAAATGTGTCTTCCATAATGGGGAATAACCTTAAGCATAAATCCAAATTAAATAAAAAGTGTGATTTAGTTCCAAAACTGGCTTCAGAGTCAGGCAGTGTGCATTAAATCTTCATACCGTCATCAGCAGGGGTGAAACTAAGGGGGTACGGCAGGGTACCGCGTACCCCTAAAAGATTTAGGGGGGCGTACGCAGTACCTGCAAGAGAGTGGAGC